GGCAAGTATCTATGTAATATTTGCTATGCACAATATATTTCAAACTTTATTTATAATTATGGTAACAAAAAAAAAAAGACTTTTTTCATTCCTTACCATCTTCTATGAGTCCTAATTCATCCACCAACTCTTCTGCTAATGCAAGTTTATCCTCTAACTTTTCTAACAACTCAACCAAGTTAAAGTCTTTTAATGATTTAAGTTCAACATCACAGAAAAATGAAAGACTAAAAAAAGTTGGAAAGGAAATATATATCTTTCATAGAAAGTATTCGTAAATTACGACCAAAAAAATCAATTCATAAATATTTTTCCACCTCTTTATCTCCTTTTAAGCAGCAAGACTTTTTATAGATTTCATTTCACTGGTGTGAATTTTTATATTGTTTAACTACTCTACTAACTCATCTAATGGAAGTTTCAATCTGCATCTCATAGCCTCTAATTTATTATCATCTGATAATCCCTTGAAAAATTGATTTTTGAGAGATTCTTCGTTGAAATCAACTACTTCCACCAATATACAGTGTGTTGCGAAAAAAATTGCGCATAAATAAAAATGTATATCTCAACAATCACACATTGAAAATAAATAAAATAGATTCATTTAAAGACTCATTATTTACTTTATTAAATATAAAAAAATTAATACGTAATTCTATTTCTATTTTTCTGTAATATTAATTCACAACAATTTTCACAGATTTAATTAAATTTTGTACTGTTTCATGAGGGATTTTATTCCATTCTTCATCCATAAATTGTTTCAACTCACTAGTATTTCTAGGCATTCTTCTTTCTACATCATTTTTTACGATCTGCCACATATTTTCAATGGGATTCAGATCGGGACTGTTTGATGGCCAGTCTAAAACATGAATATTATTTTGGGATAAAAGTCCTTTGCAACACACGAAGTGTGCTTAGGATCATTATCTTGTTGCAACGCCAGTTTCTACCATATAGCTGTTGAACAACAGGAAGAAGCTGGGTTTGCAAATATTCACATAAAAAGGACCCAGTAAAGCAAAACAAAAGGTTTTTGCCATTCAATGAAATTCCACCCTAAGCCA